ATAAAAAACAAATATAGGTAAATTGTTGGTAATTTATAGCTCCCATAGCTGATTTAAGATTCTCCACTGATGCACATTTAGAATACTGCTTTGAATATATAAATTGCCTATAGTAGGTTTAGAAATCTGGTTACCTAGCTAGACATTTATGAAGCTGACATTTACTGTATGTGCAATTATGGAATATACAGTGTCACTGCTTTCAAATGTCACCTCTTTGCCACAGTTCTTATCTTGCAGAAAATGTCCTTGCTTCCCTTGAGAGAAGCATTCATATTAAACCAGCACCAGTGCGCACTGGCAAGATATTTACAAAAGCAATTAGCACTTCTGAGTGTCTAATCTGACATCTTCAAAGGGTCTCACTTTAGGAATAAATTCTGCAACCCTCTGAAGAATACGTCCCATTATAAGGTCCTATTCTTGTCTCAAGGTGGCGCCTAAAATCATTACTCTTAAAAAGCTTTGCTTCTCTTTCTTGTCTATATTATATTCAAATATAATTCTTTACGATAGGATACAAAACGGGAGGATACGTATGTCACCTTACTCATGGGATTTTATGTCTGAAAAGCCTCAAAAGACTTTACAAGAAAAGTAATGAAATAGATACAATATTTTTTTTTTAGGATTATAATTTGTCATCTCTTTTTCTAAATATGGGTAGCACTAACGTTAGCAGTTTGGGTCTGGCTTATACAAAACATTAACAGAACTTATTTTTACCTTTCTATACCCACCTCTTCAGAGTATACAAAAATGCATTTACTACTAATTTGAAGTATCCTTTTCTACATAAGGTCTTAACAGAACCTGCACATCCATTTTGCAGCATTTGACATTTTAAAGTAAATAAATGAATACACATTTTATATCTATCTTTATATCTACGTTTTTGTTATAAAGGTTGATGTTACCAACTTGATTGAAAAGGCTTTGAAAGAATCCAACATTTTTTGCATTTTTCATCCAGATCTCTTCTCATTTGCTATCATCCCCTATGACTCAAATGCTTTCTCCACTCCAACGTTAAATTACAAGAGAAGGAGATCACTAGATAAGGATACTAGAAACTTCATGTCAAAATTAATCTTATTCCTATCTATTTTAGAATGTAAATTCCTCATGGCTGTCTCTGTGAGAGACTGCATGTGTCTATGCAAAACTATGCTGAAGTAGTTCTAAATAAACAGTACCAATTGTTTTGGGGAACTATTTCTGTTAGAATAAACAGTAATTTTACTTGACTTATGAAGCGAATATTGAAGTGGAACGTTGGACTTAAATGGAACAATGAAGAACTATCTGTTTTTTATAGAAATCCTATCAAATGTTTTTATTTTCACACCAATGCCTACAGATATTCGAAGTTTTCTGCTGAGGAAACTAGCCTGTTGAGTAAAACTTCACAAATTCTTAAGAAGTTTTCTCCACCCAAGGTACAAACAGTGATGTTTTTAGATCAGATACAGAAAAAAGAATAAGTTAAAGGTACACAATGCTTTCAGAACAATTCTACCATGATGAACTGGTTTTATTCAAGAATGCATCCTTAGTGCTACAAGTTAAGCAACAACTTTCTGCTAAACTATTTTCTTCACAGGTTACAGTGTTTCTCCAATGTTAGGTACTTCCTAATGTTCACTACATACAGCTATAGAAAAGCTACCATTAGGCTAAAATGTTAGTCAAGGTATCATGCTGAAAAGCAATGCTGAAATAAAATAGTGACCTCTAAGTGGCTGCACTGTTGGTTTCAAGAATTAAGATGAGCCTGAGCTCATTGTCAGCTATCATTGTCAAAAATAAGGTAGCAGAGACACTAATTTGAACCTCAGATAACAGTTCTATTATGAAAAAGAATTGAAAAAAAGGGTTTTCTTTTGCTTAATTGGGACCAGAATGACACTGCTTGAAAAGAATTTTATTTAACAACAAGGTGTTTAAAATGCTTCAGACTAAATGTGCAAATTATTCTATTGTTTATGGATTTACTGAACAAGCAGCAATGGTAATTAAGTAAAGACTATCTCTTATCATAGAAGTTTGATTCTGATATAGAAACAAGACCTTATTTTCACTTTTGGAAGCGCGGTCCACAATCCAATTACTGATTGCAAAAAAAAAGATTTCTTTCAGCCCTCACAGTCACAGAAGCAACCTATATTTTTACTTGCATTTTACTATAGCTTTTCTTTACTCACACCATTTTGAATATAACCTACTAGTTAAAAAAAGCCTTTTTGGTGCATTTGATGTATGTAAACATGCAATCAAAGCTGCATCTTGAATCTGTATTCATGCATTTCAGGTAATATTAACTTGGCTAATGTTACTGCAAAGAAATATGTAGCCATAGCAGCAGAGAACTTGATGCAGGCTATGAAGTCTGACTGAGAACTTAGTGAATTATGCAGGTTTCTATGCTGCACTGAACGCTGTGCTACAATGGATATGCTGCTATGTATATTTGTACTTAACTAGCTTAAAGTAAATGTGCAAATTGCAACTATGCCTCGAGTGTTGTAAATAAGTGATAAACTCAGCCTTCGTTATTAGCTGATTCAACTAATCTAACTTGCAAAATCCTAATCACTCAAAATTAAGTGCCTTCTACTACTCTACTGGAGTACTACTCTTCTACTACTTTTACCTAATTAAAAAAAAAAAAAGCACTTATAACAAAACTCCCCAGTTAAATGCTACTGAATTAAAAAGTTCCTAATGCACAATACTAAAACTATACTAATATACGACTGCCCTTATGTCATACAGTACTCCAAACAGGAATTATGGAAAAAGCATATACCAGAATATTTACTGCAATTCATAGTTCTTTTCTGATGAACTTAACAGAAACATTAACAAGTAGATTTAAATGTATATGCAATTCAGTTGTTAATGAAAAAAATACAAAGCAGCATTAAGGGTAACAAAATAAATAAATACACAAATCATGGCAATATCATGAAAACATCTAATGAAAAAGCTTTGTATTCTTAAGGTGTTATGACATTTTCAAGATATAACATTTCCAAATGCATATTATTTCTGATAGTTAAGCAATAGAGCTTTCCCTCAGAAACAAATTATCTGACTTGATGGACCTTGTCACAAGCAGAAAGAAAAGTGATTGGTAATTCTAATCACAGCAATAGAGTATGTTTAGACTTGACAAAAATCACATACCACATTAGAGAAAGATGGTCTGCTCAATAAAAGAGTATGGTAGGGCTGAAAATAAAATAACACACCTAAGAGGCTACCCTGAGAAGGAGCAGTACCTCTTTTAAATCAGAAATCTGAGTTAAACACTACAAGAGCTCTCTGGGGATATCATTAGTTCATGAAGAGACAAATGGCCAGCCTATGGCTAACGTTCAACCAAATCTGCTCCGTCTTCTTTTTCTAGCAATCCACTTAAAATTAAACAAAGCAATTTCATTTCTCAGTTCTAGAGCTAAGTCACATTTGCTTAACTCCTCTGTATTAGTTCTTTATAAGGCCTGGCTCAGCCTCACCAGTAAATGCTAGTTTGGGCCGTAGACCAGTATCATACTGAGGATGACAATGGGAGATGGTTGAAGAAGTTTACCTTCTGCTTGTGCTTGTATTACAGCTATGGAGAAAATGTGCGTTCTATCTGTGTTTCTCTCCTTTCCCACTCCCTGTGAGACATGAAGCTACTACTCTCTAATTCCCATCTATGTGGGAGTCTGATTTATAGTCCGCTCTTGGAGAAATATCTTTAATCACAATGTCTGAACAGTGTTTATTAAAAAAAAAACAAACAAAAGCCAGATTAACCAGAATTTGATGGCATCTGCCCGATAGAGATGGCTACACTCTGAATGTTTCAGTGGGTAGATATTTCAAGTCATGGCTTGTAATTCTTTTTGATTGCACTACGAGTCAAAGTTGTTCATCCTAGGTATGAATTTGCAGTGTGTATTAATAAAGCTTATCCATTATAAGTAAATCTGTTGGTCTCATCATAAGAAGTAATAGGCAGCTTAAATAGCTGCCTGAGGACTTAACTGGTCTCCACGTGTTTTAAGCGTAGTTAAGTAAACCAGGAGCATTTTTTGGTCCCATGATATGAAATTAGCATCCACTTGAAATTTTAGGTTGGATAAAAGGTAAATCAATGAAACACCAAGCTGATACTCCAGTCTAATGATAAATGTCAACTTTTCTGAACTGGAATGAAATTTGAGACTTCTTGTTCATACATTATATATAATAAATCACTATATATAGTATATACCTCTTAAGACACACATATATATGGGAAGACTATGTTATTTCATATATACTTATATTAGAGATAAAGTGCAAGATAAAATTACTTTGAGGACAAAACTGAAAAAAGATATAATATCTTAAAGTCTAAATTGTTGAATATCTTTATAATAGAGAATCAAACAAACATTTAATTGCAATTATTGGTTTGACTGACCACATTATTAATTTCAGTTAAGCTACTATTTTATAGAAATAAACTTTGATACCAAGGCCCTAGTATATATGGTACATATTCTTGGTAATGTTCAGCCTACATAAGTTATTTTATTATTGGGAAATCAGAAATTATCTATTAAACAGATTGAATGCAAAAGGCTCTCTAATTCAGTGTCATAAATGCTTAGCAGCATTTAAAGTATGTGCCACAATCTCTGCTTTCTAACGTAATTCATAATTCATTTAAAAAAATCTTATATAAACCTTAAGAACAGTTATTTAAACTGTTTACAAACATAACCACATTTTAAATAAATTAAGAAACCTGTAAAAGACAGAATAGCTTTGCTATATCAACAAATATAGTTTAAGGATATAATAGACAACTCGGGTGATCCTTAACAACTAGGTCCCAATACTATTTAACTACTCCACTAATGTAGAAAACTGAAATTATCACAGCAGTATTCTAAAAGCACAGATCAACAAGATCAAGCTAAGTTAAGAAGAGCATGCAATTCATGAATATGATTTATTACCATGGTTACAGGCTTTCAGCACAGGCCTCTGAGTGGTTGGACTGAGATTTTGTGGTATATCTGCAAAAGCAAGAAAATAAGGGAAATAAAATACTCTCTGAAAGTTACTGGACTATAGTAACAATATTATCTAGCAGAATTCTTTAAAAGTTAGAAGTTTCTAGGGGTAAAGCCACAGTTAATATTCGTGAAACATTTGATCCACTGGGAGACAGAATGACTTTTACTTCCACCATTCAGCTGCTGTTACTGTAAACCTCAAAAGCCTAAAATACACATGGCTGTACGGAAAGTCTTGTCATAATAATCAGGCTATGCTAAGTTCAATACATTGGTTTCCAAAGTGCGACTGACATTGGCCAAAGAGCATGAGAATCTCTGTAAGATGTCATTTGAGGAAAGGATTAAACCCACCAGCATTTTAAGTTCTAGAGCACCACACTCATAATGCTTTTAATAAAATGAAAAATAAAATATTCACCTTTAGATCTTGGTGTCTTTTTCCTTCGGTCTCGAAAAGCAGCACCTGACTGCAAGGCCTCCAACAGACTATCCATCACTCCAGTCTCCTCACCTTCTGTAAAAGAGAAAGAAGGAACCGTCTGGGTTACCATAGCAATATCAAAGCATAAATAATAATAATAAAAGATATCTATGGTAGCATTGAAACTAGTTATTTCAATTTTAGACCAGGCTTTTAACTTCCACAAATTGCACTCTCACAATTAATCTCAACAGAATTGGTCTTTTGTACAGTAAACTAGGCCAAATTTTATTCAATTCATTGCACATTCCTCTTTCTCTATGGTGAGATTCAACTGTATTTTTAAGTGAAATGTCATTTCATTCATATTTTCATTTCAGTACCCATTCGCAAATGCAAATAATTAGTTTCATGTCAGCTTTTGAGAGCTGTTCCCTAAAATGATTTGCCATATTAGACAAAAGAGATCATCTAAAAGCAGGAAGCTGAGTGAACAGTATTAGACTAGATAGGATATAAAGTTATATCCATAGGCAGCTTTAACCAAAATCCATTTTCTCTTCCTATTTAATAACCTATGACCAATATTAAATGAGTTATGTAATTCAGGCAAATTCTACTCATCACATTACATATGTATGTGTAATATCCTCCTGAAAGAATTATGAATGTTACTAGGAGATTATAATCATATGCAAGCATTTAAAAAAAACCTTATTTCCTCAAATAAATACATACCAGAAAATTTTAGATTTGTGAATCTTAACCCCTTGTCTATATACATATAAGAATAAAGAACACAACTCTAGGAATTTGTGATGAAAAATCATCTAAGAAGAATAAAAGAATGGCAGAGGAGAAAACTAACTATGCTTCACTACTCAAAACTCCTTAGGTCAGTATACACCCTAGATGCAGTCAGAGACAGCACATGATTCTGTAGTTATTGCCAATAGTGAATATTCAAATCCGAATCTAATCAAGCTGGTGAGTAAAGCTAGTTGCCATATTGTCAATTTAAATAGTCCTGGAAGGACTAGACTGCCAGTAAGGAAGCAAGGCTATCCTGTAGTCCTGAACATGAGGGTGAATTATTATGGGAAATTATGATTTCTATTTGTTTCCTTGCTTTAATACTTCATCTTTCAATAAACTCTGAAGAATTTTAACATCGTTTGAGGCCAAAGCATTAGTTATATGAAGGTATATGAATGCGGGAAGAAAGCTGCTAAGTGTTTTAGTTAACAATAATTCAGAAAAGATTGAATAACATCACATTCCCCCAAACAATATCATAAATGTTTATGGAAGAATAGTTCATAAGCTTTTTTCAGGGAGTAGGAAGAAAAGAAAAAAGAAAATTGCTTTTAATCCTATTTCAATATTTCAATGTGTTATCTTTTTTCTTCAAGTTTTCCCAAGACTCTTATAGATTTGATATTTATTTCAGAAACTATTAATAACAGTTTCCAGTAGAAAAAGACCTGGTGCATAATATGTTACTCTATACAAAGGCATACCAAGTATAAAATAAGGATTTTAACTAATAAAATAGGAATACTTTTATTAACTGCAAAACTAAAACTTTTTTTGGCATAATTATAGTATATTTAAGGGTACTATCTAGTTCTCCTACTTATCTGAAATATACTCTAGTCACAAACTGGGTCAGTGCTTCTCTTGAATAATTAACAGAAAAAGTAAGTACTTGAAGAAAAAAAACTATCTTGTAATGTTTTTGTATACATAGGTGCCTTGGAAAAAAAAAAAAGCGATTGCAAATAAAACTATCAATAGATAATATCCTGTACCCAAAACATTTAGAAAGTCTGTTTATCAAACCTTCCACTAAACTCTAAATTATGTTTTTTGATGTCTATGCCAACAGCTGATTGTGATACCTTCTATAAAGTTACACAGCAAACTGTTAAAATCCACACTTACCTGCTTATCTATAATATTTAACAAATGTAAACATATCATATAGTATTTTGGAAGTCTCTTAAACTGCCCTGGGAGAACTGCATAAAACATTGCTCTAGTGAAAGAACAAGAATAGCAAATATTGTTCAATATTAACACGTCCTATGGGACTTTTAAATCAGCTTTCACAAGCTGCTGCAGACTACTGTCACCAGTCCCAACTGACTTTCTAATTAGTCAAGTGTATCAATCTTTGACATCCTAGAACTAGTAATTCCAGTTAGCCTGCAGATAGCTGCATAGTCCACAACAATTTCTTTGAGAAATATACTCTTTTATGATCTAAATTATCTCTTTTCCTTGCCATTGTCAGAGATTTAAATACTCTTTAATATCATACCTACTGAAAGCTCCTACAACTCTTTTGAATATTATCTAAAGCAGAAGTAAACTTGCCAAAATAGTTAGTAAGTTTTGCCCTTGTCATTTCAATGTGAAGTCAGATATAAACTAATTTTATAATTATATCTTTAAAAACGTTAAGAATACTAGATATACTTCTCCTTTAGGGTACTAAGTCTTATAAGGTTTGCAACATAATTTTAACATGACTTAGGATGATAGCAACAGGTACTGCAATTATTAATGACTCCTGAATTTTATGTAATTATTAATTAGCAAGTGATATGTATCATAATTCAAAAAAGTAGTAGTAATCCATTGCTATATCATTAGCTATACTGTTTCAAAGTGAGAGTAGCGCAACAAGATTCTTTTGGACTAAAAAACCCTCTCATTTTACAATTCACCATAACTATCTAAAGATAAACTAAAACGTCAAATTTATGTCAGGACTACAGAAGTTCACTTTAGTAGAGAACAACTTCTAATACTATTTCTGTTTCCTCTTTCAAGGAATCAAGGTTATTTTCAGTTACTTTTAAAAAATCTGTGTATTTATTTACTCTAAGAAATAAGAAGGAAACTTCAGAACAACAAAACCAAGAATTCTTCAATGTGCTTTCTGTCAACGTTGACTGCTCTGTCTATGCAGTCAAGAGATTTCTCTACAAGGAGCTAGACTGTCAGTTTCCACTGGGATCTAATTTGTGACACGGCAATTACATACATCTTTTCATTACTAACTGAAAGAATCAGCTCCTACAGTCAGCTTCTGAATACTCACAGAATCACACAGTAGTTGGGGTTGGAAGGGACCTCTGGAGATCATCAAGTCCAGCCCATGCAGGGTGACCTAGAAAAGGTTGTCCTGGACTCTGTCGAGATGGCTTTTGAATATCTCCAAGGACAGACATGCTACCACCTCTCTGGGAAATCTGTTCCAATGTTTAACCTCCCTCACAGTAAGGAAATTTTTACTTACATCCAGATAGAACTTCCTGTGTTTCAGTTTGTGCTCGTTGCCTCTTGTCCTGTTGCTGGGTACCACGGAAAAGAGTCTGGCCCCACCCTCTCAACACCCTCTCTTCAGATACTTGTACACACTGGTAAGGTCTCTGCTGAGCCTTCTCTTCTCCAGGCTAAACAGTCCCAGCTCTCTCAGCCTCCCATCATAAGAGAGATGCTCCAGTCCGTTAATCATCTTTGTGGCCCTTTACTGGACTCAATCTAGTATGTCCATGTCTCTCTTGTGGTGGGGAGTCCAGACCTGGACCCAGCACTCCAGGTATGTCCTCGCTAGGGCTGAGTAGAGGGGAAGGATCACCTCTGTCAGGCTGCTGGCAATGCTCCTCCTAATGCAGCCCAGAATAATGTTTTATTAAGCATCATCTAAAATTAAAACTGCTCAACTTTGATAAATGTGTACAATGAAAATAAGACCTTAATATTTCATACAGGCAACAAAATAAAAAGGTTGCAAAAACTGGCAGGCTACTCATCTTTATATCATCTTGGAAGTACCTCCAGATACCATGGTAGCACTCAACCTTTTATATCATTCAAGAACAGGCCTGGAGTGTTGAAGCTGCTGTTCTTGTTTGAAGAATAAAGCCCTAAACTCACACTGTAGTAGATACTAAAATGAATACTATTCTTTTCAATTATTTTTTTTAACTAGAATAGAAACTGCTTTTTCTCTCTTTATCTTGACATATAATTAAGGTTAGATATATTATACCCAACTTCTGATCAAGTCCAGTCTAATCCCTTTGTAGCCTTCTTGCAGGTTGAACTACATCATGTATTGAATAAAAATTTTGAGTGAAGTGAATGAATGTGAGGCTTTGGATAGCACATGTGGAGATTTTCCTCACTATCCACACAAGACAGAGAAGAGGATATACCTTTTAACTTGGTTAATGCTGTATCTTTTCTCTCAAGATACCATAACTCCTAAGCATGGATTAGAGAGAGTTAAAAAAAAAAAAAATCATAAGTAAATAACTTTTTTTTCCTACTTCAAGAGCTTCACTGTATACTTATTTGTATTATGATTGCATGTAAGCAGTACCACCCACAAAGCAATGTTTAGCTGACTTGAGGCTCCTATCTGAGTAAGAACTGAAGGACCAGTCTCCTAATAAAGGCACGAGAGGAAGCTTTAGAGAAGTATAAACCTCCAGGAAATAGACTGCAGAGAAAGAGACAATTTAAGCAATCAATGCAGGCATAAGCTCTAATGGTTGGAAATGGTTCCATCTTTTCAGTTTCACATAGATTCTAAGGTGGATAGATTCTGTGAAGTATTCATTGTGCTGATGTACACAACTTCTAGATCTCTCAGTCTTATATATGAATAAGTGAGGAGATTTTATGAAGGGATTTAAATTGTCAATATAAAAATGCAAGGCAATCAATGTCCAGAGAAAGTAAGATTTCAGAATGTGCAACGATGTGCCTTATGGGAGGGGAACCTCTTGACTCCAATGAAATTCAGACATAACCGTACACAGGAATTTTGGGTGGATGTTAAGGTTAGCTCTGACCAGAAAATGCACAGTATACAGAGAATTAATCATAAAGCCTTCCTTGAACTCAATCTATCTTTCTAGCAAAAGCCAACAGAAGTTTCTTATTCTTATCAGGCTTCAGCCAGGAAGATCACTATTCACTTATTTTGTCTTTCCTCAGAAGTGACTTCTGGCAAAAGACAAATACTAGCCCTTCCAGAAAGGAAAAAATAAGTGTGTACCTCACAGAAATCACAG